ACACTCTCTGGTAGGGGGTACCACTGAACTTCAGTCTCTGTGGTTGTTCCTTTTATACCAATGTAGGCATAAAATAGAAAATTTTGAGACACATGAAAAGACAAGAAAACACGACCGATAAATCAAAGGAAAGAGCACACAGTGGACACACACCCACAGACGATCCAGATGATGTCACAGCAAACAGGCATTAAAATAACCATCACAATGTATCACTATTATAAATATCTAACAATACAGAAGAAAAGTTATATAAAATAGATGAAAAGAAAACTGGAAATTTATTTTTAAAAAGCCAAGGAGACATTTAGAAATAAAGAACTGATAACACTTCAAAGGAGCATCGGAGAACAGTTAAGTGTAGCACATCCACTCTGTGGGAAAACATTCAAGCACAAAAGAGACAAAACAAGTCCCCTTGTTGGCACAGACGCAGAGCAAGTGGACCGCTCACGGTGGTGGTGGGAATACAAAGTGGTTCACTGCTTTGGGAAACTGTTTGGTAGTGTATACTGAACTTAAATACGTGTATGCCCAACAGCCCAACAATACCACTCCTAGGTACATACCCTGTGGTCCTCAATGGAGCGGATGGGAGATTCTGCCCCCAGGGGATGTCTGGAGACATTTATGGTTGTCACATGGGGGTAGTGCTACTGGTACATAAACGGGTAGAGGCCAGGGACGCTGCTCAACATCCTACAACGCACAGGACAGTCCTCCACAAAGAAGAATTATTCAGCCCAAAATGTCCATAGTGCTGAGGTTGAGAAATCCTGGTACATGCCTAACAAATAAATGAGAGCTGACATCCATCAAAAGACATGTGCGAAAATGTTCACAGCAGTGTTATTCAAAATAGTCCATAACTGGAAGCAACCCAAACGTTGCCGATGTCCACGTCCACGTTAACAGATGAACACAACAGGGAAGTTATGAGATATTCATACAATAGAACATCATACAACTTGGATGAAGCTCACAAACGATGTTGACTGAAAGAAGCCAGACACCTTAGTGTACAGCTCCAAATGTATCGAGTTAAAAAACAGGCAAAATCTATGGTGTTGGATGTAACATAAGTAAAATAAATAAATAAATAAAGCAGTGACCCCTGGGGGTGGGGCTGTAGCGAGGGGGGGCACAATGGAACTTTCTGGGGTGCTACAACTCTTTGTTTTGATTTGGATAGGATTGTTCTCAGTGTAGGTAAATATTCCAATTAAGATTTATGCATTTTACCATATTTAAGTTAGAATTCAATTAAAAAGAAAAACAGTCAAAATAAGCCACAAATGGTTAACTATATAAAATAATCACAGATACACCTACAAATATATTTTTTGCATGAGAAAACACAGAAGTAATATGTAATGTAGTATGAAACACATTTATGTAAGAACCCAGACAAATAAACCAAAATACACACACTTTTTAAGCATATAAACATCATAGATAAATGTATGGAGAAAGATCTAGAAAAATATACACCAAATTGATTACCTCTGAAGCAAGAAAGGGGATTGGGATGGAAGATAAGAGACTAAATTGTGTTCTAAGAGAACACAGAAAAGTATCAAATATGTCATCAAAAATTAATTCACATGTGTAGAGCTATTCACTGTTTCAAAGTCTGTCATAGTGACAAATTAAACAACCTAAATTTCCATGAATAAGGGAATAGCTAAATGGGAATATGGTGCATTCACTCCGTAGACATTTTTGCAAACTACAGAACAACTAGACACAGTATGATGCCATTCAGATAAAAACAAAACTTTTTAAAGGTTGACTTAAGCACACCTGAAATTCCACCCATCACCTATAAAATCCACGAATCATTGTAATCAGTTATTTTTAAAAATTTAAACATATTTGTGTCTCAAAAGAACAGAAAATTTCAGCAGATCAAAAGCTGAGAGGCATATCTGAGAGCAGGAGAGGTAGGGAGCCCTGGTGGTTACCAGCTGTGGGGCTGCTCACAGCTAGGACATGGAAAGGTTAGTCCACAAAGACAAATCCCCATCAGTGGAGAAACAGCTCAATAAAGTGTGGCCCACCCACACTGGAGGACATAAAATGGAGCTATTAAAAGGAATGCACCCAACCTATATGCACAGTTATTTCCACAAAGATATCTAAATAAATTTAAGGGGAAACAGCACACAGCACAATATACTGGAGAGAAAAAACATAAAATCTTGTTTCCTGTAGAAAACGTCTGGATGGAGCTCCCCCCCAAGCTACTGACCACATCTGGATAGAAGAGGAAGGAAACAGCAGCCAAAGGGGCTTTGGAGGAGCCACTTACAATCACCTTTGCTAAAAGGATGAGATTAAAAATTATACTAAAGAGGAAAAGCTATAAAACTATTTTCACACTAAAACACAAACAGACACTGGTGTGCATGATCTAACATGTAAAATGCAGAGAAAAATGACAGGAAGGTTACCTAAAAAAAGTGGGTGGCAGTTTTTTCTGGGAAGTAGAATGGGAGGGGTGAAGTAACCTTTCATACAATGAATATACTCCTGCAGTATTTGTGACAACAAAAATAAGAAGGAAGGAGAGGGAAGTAGAAGGAGAAAGAGGAGAAGGAAAGAAGGAAGGGAGAGAAGACCTAGGGGAAAAAAGGTGAGGGGTGCAAGCAAGAGCTGGCTTTGAAAGGTGGAGGGATGGCAGGGACTGGAACAACAAAGGAGGGAGGAAAAGGAGTGTGTGTGTACATAGACACACACACGTACACACAGAAGTAAAGAGGCAGAATGAGAGAGCTAATGAGGCAAAATAGTAACAACAACTGGGGAATCTAGGTGAAGGGTGTTTTTTTAATACAATACAGTTTTTTACGCTATTCTTAAAACTTCTCTATAGTCTTGAAATTATTTCAAAATAAAATATAAAACAAACTCCAAGGGCTCTCCAGCACCATTCTCACCTCCCTTAAGGAGCAAACACAACCTGGCCCTGGCTGCTGCACTCCCCTCCCTACTCCAGCCACACGCCTTCTTTACGCCTTCTTTCCACAAGACAAGGCACCTGCTGGTTCACTGACACAGCTGCTTCCACAGCCTGGAATGCTTCCTCTCCCCCTGCCCCCCTCTTCCCATGACTGTCAAGTTGTCATTGAGACCCTGCTTAAATGTTGCCTCAAGAGAGAGCTGCCAATTAAAGTAGTCACCTGGCCACTCTCTTTCACATGCAAAACATTCACAAATTTTGTACCTGTTTATCATGCTCCTCAGATATGTCTGACTGTCTCCCATACCCTCTATGGGGTCATGGACCCTGTTGATCTTGTTCACCCCTGCATGTCCCAGAAAATTACCTGGCTTAATAGTCAATAAATGTTTGTTAAGTTAATACATGCACTCAAAAACAAGCAAATACTGTTTACATCTGTTAAGATGTCTTTAGGTCCTAAGAGGCAATAAGAACCACAAACTCTGAAGACACTCTGCCTGGGTTTGAATCCTAGCTCTGCCATCCCAGTGTCCTTGTATCCCTTACTAGTTTGGGACCATGGGCATGCTCCCCAGGTTCCTCACAGGGTTGTGAGACTTTAGTGAGTGGTACCTATTAATATTATTCAGTAGTTTTAAAATCTTCTTTATTTAGGTCCTGTATACTCATATTCACTTATTTTATCTTTTTTTAATGCTGTTGTAAATATAATGCTTCCTCTCATTGCATTTTCTACATAGTTATTGTTTAAAAATAAAAAGCTGATTGATTTTGAGGTTAATTGTATCCCTCAGGCCACCTCAGTGAAATCCCTTCTCCCTGGCCCCCAAACTCTTCCTGTCACACTTGACCACCTAAAAAAGGTCTATACTATCACCAGTTCTTTACATCCTGCTGCCCAGCTCGTGCAATCCACATTACAACATTCCCTTTACCTCTCAGGAAGTGACCATCTGCACCACCCCCAACATTCTCTCTTCCCTGGGAAAAACTGCTTAAGACCTTCAAATTCCAAAATCCAAGAAATACCTTTTCATCTCACGAAATACTTCTTAGGCATTTCATATCATGGGTTTTACGTTCTCTTTTCTCAAAGGTGCAGGAGAACATGCCACTCTCCAAACTTTCTCTCACCTCTCCTGCACTTCAGCCCTTCTTCACCACAAGCCTCTCTCCTTGTCATTGCCCCAAATGCTCTATTTGGTCCTTTTCCAGGCTGTATTCGGTCATATCCTGACCTTCCACTAATATACATGCCTTTAATCTGTACATTTCCAGTTGAGAACTCCCACCTGAGCCACAGACTCAGCTACAAGCACTGCGTATTCAACATCTACAAAGCTGTACACCTTCTCTAGTCCCTCTTCTACTAGTGTTCCCAAGAGTGGAAACACCACGACCATGTGCCACAGGTCAGGACAGCAATCACCGTGAAGTCCCCCCTCTCGCTCACTCCATCAATCACCTGCACAGTCCAGGTGGTCCACTGACCCTCCTCTCCTCCAAAACTGCTCCCTCCTGCTTTGTACCCTCAACCTCCTCTCTCTGCTCATCCACCTGCTACTGTGCCCAGTGTTCACTTGATCACTCTCCTCGCCAGGCCACAGCTCCTCTAAAACAAGAAGCATAATTTATCTTTGCGCTGCCAGCACCAGTACCCAGGCCCAGCACACAGAAGACACTCAGTAACAACGAATGACCAAAGGGGAGGGTAATGTCCCTAACGAGGCCCTAAAGGTCTGGATATGAAGACAACTCAGTGCTCGTGTGTGAAAAATCCGAAATGATAGAGACTCATTTCCTTAGCAAGGGCCTTCACTTCCCTCGGAGTCCAAGGTCCGCAGCGGCAATCAAGTATAACTGCCGAAGGAGAGGGCCCCGGACGCGAGACGCCGGAAGACAAGGAGCGTTTCTGGAGATCCAGAGGCAGGGAGGGGGCGGGGAGCACGCGAGTCCAGGCCCTGGATGTCGCCGTCACGGGACGAAGGTGCCACCCCAGCGCCGAGTCCGCTCTGAGAGGGACGCTCCCACTCACCCAGCACGACGCTGTCCGGCACCCGGCGGCCATCCCGCGCTGCTCCGTGCGGGCTGCGGAGGAGAGAACCGAGCCGTGAGGGTCTCCCCGCTGCCCCGCCCGCCCGGAGGTACCCCGCGCCCCAAGAGGGAGGGTCCGCGGGCGGCTCAGTCCTCGCAGGGAGCCGAAGCCGTGAATTCGTACCGTTTGGCGGCCCTGAAGCAGGAGGGACCGAGGCCGGGCTGGCTCCGTCCACGCCGCGGACAGACCGTTGGCGCCTCAGCTGCCCAGGATCCTGGTCTGCACAGGGCGCTCCGAGCCGCATTAACTCCGCGCCTCCACCGAGACCGCGGCCGCAGAAACCCGGGACGCCGCTAGCCCTCTGCGGTCCATTGACGTCGAGCCCGAGTACGGCTACTGCTGCGGCGCACGCGGAAGTACGTCATGCGTCGATGCGCCAGACGGGGCGGTGCCGAAAGAAAACTACATCTCCCAGAAACCTCTGCGGAGGGTCCCTGCTTACTGGCCGGGCTTCCAGCAAGAGGCGGGTCTGGAGTGAGGGGCGGAGCCCGACGGGAAAGGTCCACAGCCCTAGGGCCTCCGGCGCGGTCGGGGGAAGAGACTGGAAGGCCAGGGGTGCTCAGGTCTTGATATCAAACAAGATAGGGTTGAGACCGAAAGGCATAGCAGCGAAGGACACTTTGTGAGGCTACAAGCTGCAATTCACAGGGTTATAAAACGGTTTTGAATATCAGTGCACCAAATAATACAGTTACCAACTTCATAAAGGAGAGCCTACAGTAAATGAAAAGACAAATAAATAGAAGCACAGCAATAATAGGAGACATGAACATACTACTCTCAGTCCAAGACAGATCAAACAATCCTCTCGCATAACTACAATAAAACTATAAATTAATAGCATAATTTAAGAAGGCCTATGTGCCTGAAAGTCTTTTTTAAAAAAAGCTTTCTATTCAATAAATATTGAACGAAACGTGGAAATACACCCAAAACTGTAGAGGACACTATATAGGAATTTATGGGAGAAACTTAAAGCAGTGATGACAGGAAATTTCATAATCTTGAGTAATTATAACAGTAAAAACAAAACAAAATAAGTGGATTAAATTCCCAAAAAGCTAGTAAAAGAACAACAAAGTGGGGCTGGCCGCATGGCATAGCGGTTAAGTGCACACACTCCGCTGCTGGCGGCCCAGGTTCACATCCTGGACACGCACCCACGCACCGCTTGTCAGGCCATGCTATGGCAGCATCCCATATAAAGTGGAGGAAGATAGGTACAGATGTTAGCCCAGGGCCAGTCTTCCTCAGCAAAAAGAGGAGGATTGGCATGGATGTCAGCTCAGGGCTAATATTCCTCACAAAAAAATAAAAAAAGGAACAGCAAAGTAAGCCAAAAGAAAGCAAAGGAAAGGAAATATTAAATATAAAAACAAACAACTAGACAAAATTAGTAAAAACAGAAAAGACTCAAATAATACTATGAATCCACTCAAAGTAATTGACATATATAGAACACTATACCTAAAGACTGTTAAATATGCATAATTTTTATGTGCACATGGAACATTCTCCAGGATAGGTCCTATGTTGGACCACAAAACAAGTCACAATAAATTTAAAAGGATTGAAATCATACCAAGTGTGTTTTCTGACAACAGTGGAATTAAATTAACAGTCAGTTCCAGAAAAAACGTAGGAAATCACCAGATTTTTGGAAATTAAAAAACACATTTTTTAGCTCAAAAAAGAAATCATGAGGAAAATCAGAAAATGCTTTGAACTGAATTAAAATGAAAATACAATAGATGAAAAAAATCTGAATAACTTGAAATCCAAATCCTGAGCTCTTTTCTTTATTCCGCTTACCTCCAATTTAATCTTCCCTTTCTATTTGAACCCAGAGCTACTCAGTCACTGTATAGTCTCATAAAATTCCCAAGCAAATTGTATTTTCAGCAAGTCCTAAACACATACTCTATGCCCAGTTCTCTGATCGAAGCAAACTCACTCACCACTTAAGATCTTTCTTAGGCTATCCTCGCATCTAGATTGCCACCTTGTGTCATTTAAGTAAACTTAAATGCATAGTCCCTAGTCCTACAGTCTTCCCAGATCTTTCCACAGTAGACAGGGATGTTAGTCTCCTGCTAATTCAAGTCTCCTTATTCATATTTATGAATTTTTTGTTATGGTGTAAAGCTGCTACGGGCCTAAAACAATGCAGAACTATTTTTAGGGAAGAGGATCTAGGATGGTATTGGGTTTGAGGGAATGGAAAGAGGTTCTGGAAAAGTGTGTGAAAGAAATAGACACCTGTAAGAATGATTAATGACAGTATATAGACAAGTAGAGGCCAATGAGGACATTTCAATGTGTAAGATGTGACAGAATATAATACAGAGATAACCATTCTGTTCATACAAAATTAGAGGCAGTATTGGGGACATCTGCATGCATTAAAGGAAGTAGAGTTGCAACAATGAATAAATATATATGGTTACCTCTTTATTTTGTATTTTTCAGTGATTTGCTTAAGTTTTTTTTTTTCTTAAATATTGGCGTGGAAATTGATGCTGGAAACACCATACATAATTAATGCAGTGAATTTGTGTTAAGACTCTTTTGAAGGCAAATGCCAGAAATATAGCTCAAACTAGCTTAAACTAATAGAGGAAATTTACTTCGTTTTATAACTGAAGAGGTCATGCAGTAGGCTTCAGGAATTACTGGACCCGGGGCTTCCATCACCATTAGACTACTCTCTCCTTTTCTCTATTCATTCCAGTTGGCCTCATTTTCGGTCACACTTTCCTCGTGAAGTAGCAGAGGAAAACTCACATTTCTTTCATAATAGTTCTGGCAAATATGTAGGGACTGACTTTCACAGGGTCAGATGCCCATCATTGAACCAGGGTCACAACGACTGATTGTCCAGGCCTTGGTCCATTCCATAAAACCAATAGTTCATTGTCTGAAGCGTCACTAAAACCACATAGACTAAGCATAGGAGAAGGGTTGTTTCTTAAATAAAATTGAGATAAATTATCAGAAGAAAGGGAATTGATGTAGGGAAGGCAAAATCAAAATTTCTCGGGCCTAGTTTTAGAATTACTGACTCCCCTGGTACATGAATTAATCCTGTTTAATGGGAAAGTCACAGCATGAGGAGGCACTGTAACACATTTTTCAATGATCAGGTCATATCTCAGGGCCTCCAAAATTCATTCTTGTGTATTCCAGTGAATTTGGATCTCACTATATTTACTGACTGTGGTATGACTTGTAATTTGAATCATGTAATTATCCCTGTGGCCTTCATATCACATACCATTCTTTGTTTTATGTTTGCCTGTATTTATTTTTTTCTACTTAAATTCTAAGCTTCCAGTAAGAAAGTGCTCCTATTTATTTTTGTTCCCAGCTTTGGAAATAGTGGGTTTTCATTAGATATTGGGTTGGTTGGTTGATTTACATGGAATATGCCTAGAAAAATTATTTCTCTGTTTTTGAAATTGTCTATTTCATAATAGTATCTTCTCAGTCTCACCTTCCTTGATCTTCCATTCTCTTTCTGTGTTTTTGTGGAACATCTACTATATAAGCCTAGGACATTAATACTAAGGGATTCAACAAAGGATGAGACGTATTTATTTCTCTAACAAAGACTTATAAGCTAGCTGGGACAAGAAGTATACACATGCAGTAGGTTGAGTTTTGGGGGAAACAGACTTTGTAATGGAGATTTGTGAGCAGATGGTTTATTAGGGAGTGCTCTCAGGAACAACCACTAAGGGAATGAGGAAGCAGGACTAGACAGAGGGAAAAGCTGAGAAATGATGCATTTACAACGGAGGCCTCAGCAAATTCCACAAGGATCGCTGAAGCTGGCCCTTCAGAGATGTCCAAAACTGAGGCAAAGGAGTGGGGACTATCTTGACCCGTTTTTGACCCCACAGAGAAGGCTAAACTTGGGTGAGTCAGCTCGCCTCAGCTGAGGGCAATTTCTTGAGAGGGCCTCATTTATGGCCTCTTAGAAGGCACCACAAGTGGCATCTGGAGAAATGAGTGCCTCAGTCCCAAAGGAGGTTCTGTGTCGTACACCAGAGCACCCACTACAACACGTAAGGCAGTAAAACGTGGGTAAGACTGCCTAAGGGCGTCTTAAAGGTTTAAAGACTTGCAGAAAAATCAGCCTATTGTTGTAAAGCCAGCTTTTAAACAGAACTAGACATAACCATTATAAAACATACCCTGGGTAGAGTCAGTACCTATATTTAATAAGGAAATGTATTTGACTTGATGAAAAGTAGTATTTATACCAATAATGATTTTCAGAGTTCAATCAGGTACATAGAGTTAGAGTGACCTCAATTTTTTTTCAGCTAGAAACATTTTTCTTTATTTTTCATTATAAAAAGTTGAGCTTGAAATTTCACATAGACTCTAAGTATATATAGGCCTATATTGTATTTTTCTTTTACAAGTCACAATTTTGTATTAAAACCATCTAGATTTGAATTTTTGATATACTACTAAATATCTTTGTGGAACTGGGTTTAAATTAAAATGCTGAGTAAATGTTATCTATTGTGGAAATTAACAAAAGAAGCCTTAACTCAACTGGAGTCCAGAAGGCCTGTAGGGAGAGCTCTCACACCCCATCACACACTGTCAGTTACAGCAAACAGGAAGAGAGGACACTTGCCTCTTGGACAGGGAGTAAAACTACTCTACTTCCTTCAGGAAGGAAGATTTCTCTCCCCACTGGGCAATACCCAACCAAGGAGAAATGCCACAGCTCAGCCAATGAGAAGCTGTTGCTGCCCTGCCCTGTTACTTCCCCCCCATGGACTTTCCTTTAGCACAGTCCCTCCCTGCTCCTCCCTTTTCTCTATAAAGCACCTCCCCTCCTTTGTTGGTTGGATTTGCCTATGGTTTACCACAATATGGCGTATCCCAAATTGCAATGCTTTTGGCTATTCCTGAATAAACTCGTTTTGAGGCTTTTCAAGTTAACACTATTATTACATTTATTGTTATTCTTGTCATTATGAAGTGTGTATGGTTGCAGGGAAGAGGTCTGGGAAGGCCTGGAAGGTTTTTGGTTAGCACCAGTGATATAAATTTACGTTAAGATAAGTCTTAAAACAGATACAGAATGTTTTGGAAATTGGAGGGACTAGAGACTAGTGGGAGAGAGTTCACCACTTAACTACATGATTGCAGATATACAGTGAAGAATATGCTTCCGAATTGACTTCTACAATTCCTCAACTTCACAGTATTCCTATATTATTACAGATGGTCCCCTACTTACAATGGTTCCACTTAACGGATTTTTT